GAAGCCGTAAAAAGTAAATAAATAAATCAGATTTTTTTCAAAGAATTCAAATGAACTTTTCATCTAAAGGGAGCATTTAAATTCCTTTCAAAAATTCTTTTTAAAAAATTCCCGTAAAAGTACAAGTAAACTTTCATAACTATATAAATAATTTAAACTCACGTTAATAATACCATGTACTATAATAACTTTTTTGTAAAAGATCTTTATTCCTTTATAGCATCTACTATAGAAAACTGTGTTGTACCATTCTATAGTTCTCATAAATTGTTGATGTTATGTGTTTTTATAATAGCACTGACTATAATGGCACTAACCAGTATTTGTAGAGGGTAAGGCCGTTACCTTTTCTTTCAAAATGGCGGATATTAAGTGTCAGTTTCGATACTTTTAGTTTTCAGTTAAACTACATGTACTTTGCAGGAGATATTTGGATTAGAATTCTGAACCATTATAGATTATATGACATTGCAACTCTGCACTCTAAAAATATATTCTAACAATATCAAGTTGATGCCATGATATTATTCCCCAGCTTATGGGGGGGGGTGATATGAATTGCAAGATGGCGTACAAAGGATTCATATTACAATACCCTATGTGGTAGATGATATCACTAGATTGCTGAAATATGAAAACACCCAGCAAGGCAAGGTGTGTTTGATTCCAGCCAATCAGAAGATGCGATTTTACATAACAGCATTCTCTCATATGACCGATAACCAACTCAAGGTCACTAGTCAAATGGTTTTCAAGGCGATAATTGGACTCCTCAGATTGAAATTGATAACTTGTCAACTTGAGCCTTGCAAAAAGTTTCATTGAAAATATGTTCTTCTAATGATTTTGTATCTTTTAGATTATTTTGAACAAAATATTCTTCAATGTGTAAAAAGAAGTTTTATTCTTAAATTAATAAATCAATACAATTAGGTGAAATTTACTAGTCATCAAGACTTATTGCCTTTTTAAAATCAACTTTTAAAAAAAGATACAATGGGGTTAAGACTTCCATGTTTTTCTGATGTCAATTTGATATTTTGGTATAAGTGAATAAAAAAATCACTAAGAGTGAATTATGTGGTTTGAAAGTTTTGAAAGAGTCAGGTCAACCGCCTCTGAAGAAAGTTATATGCATTAACTTCAGACAACCCATATGGCAAATAAACTCTCTTAAATCATGAACTGACTTAGAAAAAATGAGTGTCTTCGCTAGAAATGATATCAACTAGCTGTGTTGTAATATTATGTAAACTATTTTATGAGGTTTGTAGCGAACATGTTGACATTCAAAAGTTTAAGATGGTTACTAATGCAGATATGATATAGCTATTCAGGCTATTTGGCCCCCCTGTTACCAAAATATTGTCAGTATTTGACGAAGGACCCATGGTCCTGTGCTCACACAGTTTGGAACCTTCAGAGGAATGTATATCCTGACTTTCAAACAAAAATATTGATTTGGATTTGTAGTCTCGAACTTTGAGAAACTTAGATAGCACAGTTGTGTGACCTAGTTTGATGACCTTTGACCTTGAAAATTTTACTTAGTCAGAGCTCAGTAAGGTCTTTTGTGATTAAGCTGACCAAAATTTACATCCAAAAATCAATTTGAAAAATCAACTTTTTTGACCTTTGGAAGGTCACTGAAGGTCAACTAAAGGTCACATCCTAAAACTAATGTCAGATTTGAACTCCTGGCAACTTGTAGATGATTTTCAAAAAAATATTTGGTCAAATTGAAGCAAGTTGAAAAATAACTTATTTTTACTGTTTTTGACGTCAAATATCTCAAAAACGGTAAAAATTTGATGCTGACATATATTGAGCAATATGTAGGGCATGCTTAAATCTAGTTATGATGTAATTCATTGCAAGAAATGATCAAGTATAAGGCAAACTTTGAGAAACTTGTCAATCACAAAACCTGCCATTGACTTTATACATAGAAAGTTTCCTGAAAATGAGGAAGTCCTACTTTTTGTCAAATTTTATAGAGTAAACACAAAAAACTGTAATTCCAAGAGCTTTGAAATCTTCAGAGGACAAAAGTTGCATATACAGCAACTACTAAAAGTTATTTGAAAGTTATACTTCAACAAAGTGTCTAGTATTTACAGAAAATTTGACTTTTTGACGTCAAAATCTGCAATTTCTCGGAAACCGGGCGAACTTGGGAAATGGCGATGATAGGTCAAATAGGCATTATGGATATGCATAAAATGAATGTGGGTATGACTCAATCCGAATAGCAGTTTTAATTTGTGTGGCCAATGTTGACGGACGGATGGACGGACCAACGGACGGACGGACCAACGGACGGACGCCTGGTCGATCCCATAGGAACCATTAGCAAAACCTCTTGAGAAGATTAATTCGTCGACATGTTGTGTCTGCATTGATTTGGAATCCACCATTAAGGATACCAAATATGGTCATAAGATTCTTCGCGGAAAGCCTGATAAATGCATTAAATTAATGAAAGTTTCTCAAACAAATTGAAATAAGATTTACATTAACCAATAGAGAAGCGGGTTTTTTAAATGACGCAATTTCCAGCATCATTAAAAGCTAATTAGAGAACAGCCCATTCTGATGACATTTTCAACATGATGTCTTCTTGTAAAATAACAAAATTAAAATAGTGCAGAGTGATATTTTTATCATAATAAAAAGTCGAAGAGCTTTAAAAATTGAACCTCTTTAAATGACCTTAGAAAATATTGTGCAGGATACTACCAACTGACATTTTGATCATGATGATCAAATATTTTATGTGGAGAGCTCTAAAAATTGAACCTCTTAAATGACCTTAGAAAATATTGTGCAGGATACTACCAACTGACATTTTTATCATGATGATCAAATATTTTATGTGGAGACCTCTAAAAACCTTAGAAAATATTGTGCAGGATACTACCAACTGACATTTTCATCATGATGATAAAGTATATTATGTGGAGAGCTCTAAAAATTGAACCTTTTTAAATGACCTTAGAAAATATTGTGCAGGATACTAGGTAGCTGACATTTTTATCATGATGACCGAATGTTTTATGTGGAGAGCCCTAAAAATAGAAACTCAATAAATGACCTTAGAAAATATTGTGCAGGATACTAGGCAGCTGACATTTTTATCATGATGACCTTAGAAAATATTGTGCAGGATACTAGGCAGCTGACATTTTTATCATGATGACCTTAGAAAATATTGTGCAGAATACTAGGCAGCTGACCTTTTATTATGATATATGTTTAAAGTCTCGCACTTAATAACTGGACTCAGCTATCGGCAGCGATTAATCAACAATATCTTGCCGATGGCAGGAAGTGAACAGATAAGATATAGCATGTAACATTTGAAGGATGATGAAACGGTTTCCCATTTACAGTAAAACCTGCCTAAGTGAACACATCTCTCTAGTGAACACCTGTATCTGGTGGACACCCTTCCTCTGCATATACTCTACTGAATTATGTATAAATTACTCTCTCTCAAGTGAACACCTACCAACACTGAACGTTTTTTTCGGCAAAGAAGTGTTCAGTATATACAGGTTTTACTGTAAATGGTAGTTGACATGACATGTTGGATGAACAACTTTTTTGTCTCAAAACTTAACCTATCAACCTTCAGATTCCATTTCTGACATACATAAATATCCCAGGGGGTTCACTGTATATAAACCTTGACGGGGATCCTCGGCGCACATGGAGTACCTTTTTTGACAGTTGGTATGGCAATGGACCCAAATTTTAGCATCTGGTATGAAAATGCCCCCCAAATTATGACTTTTGAGATATGGCAATGGTTGGGTTTTCCATTTTTTGGTATGAGAATGGTTGAAGAAAATATGTTACATCTCATTTGTGGAATGGCATTGGTCGAGTAGTTACACAAATCCTTAATTTGAGGTTGTTTGGATTGTTTTCCTCAAAGATCTGCCTTCTTCCCAGGGCTTTGGGCATTTTGAATGCCCTCAGTGTTATATCTGGATATTTGGTATGACATTGGTCCTATATTTGGACATTTGGTATGGCATTGGTCTTATAATTATTTGATATGATATTTGGTATGGCTTTTGGGCGTTTTTTTTAGTTGGTATGGGAATAAATTTCAAAATTTTGTATAGAGTGAACCCCCGGGATAAATATACCATAAAACAGTTGATTTGCTTTGAAAAATAAAGTCTTGTACAATTAATATATGTCAAAGAAGTTGATTATGACAAAACAATTGCAAAGATGGAAGTACAGGATGTCTTTAAAGTCTCTTTACACTTTACAGACTATATCATACTGTAAAAATTTGAAAAATTTATTGTGAGAATAATAAAAGAACTGGCGATATATCAAGGATTGTGGTTGAAATCTCTGAGGATTTGCAACTTCTCACATCTGGGGACCAAAACGCTGCCAAAACGAGGGACTTTGTAAACAAAAGCAATATCTCGACTGAAAGGTATTTCTGTGAAGGTTTTAATGGAACAAGTTTGAAGAAAAACGGTGTACTGTGAGACTCACAATCATTGATTTTCCAAAGAAAGGGTAGGATTAAAATTCAAATTAACGGTTTTGCGGGGGGTTTTGGTTTCGATACGCCCCAGTGAGTTAGTACCGCGTGACAATATCATATTGTAATTTATGGACACCATGTACATCACAGTACTTCAAGGATCTCCTTGAATGAGGACGAAGCTAAAACATAGAGCCATATATCCATCTTTTAAATAATTATCAATATCACATATATTATGTAACATTAAAGACCAAACATATACCACCTATAAGTAAAGCTTCAGTCAGATTTGTTTTACGACAGCATTACATCGTAGTGCTAATATCCTTATATTTCAAGCTGCATGATTCTCTCAATTTTGAGAAGCTACAGCCACTGTATGGTTGCCATAGATCAAATGTAACTGGGGCATTAATCTAGATATCAAATCATCCCAGAAATAGAAATAAAATATCACCTAATATTTAATTACCATAGTTACCTTTCGGGTCCTGCAGATCTGGCAACTCCACCTCTCCTTTTGGCAAATCCGTGAAAATGGAATAAATGGTTTGTGACAGTCTCCATGGTAACCTGAAAAGATAATTCATATTTATAGTGATATTCCAAACCTTACATCCTATCATCTCCTGTTTCTTATAAAGAATATTGTTTTAAGGTATAATTTTTGAGAAAGAGTGTTAATGTCCTACAGCACCTACAGTACTTGTAATTTTTACACTTAGATGACAGTTTTTACACTAAAGATGACAAAATACCACTATTATTAAATAAACAAGACATAAACTTGACAATATGTCAGCACCTTGTAAGTTATTGCTAATTGTTACGACGACGCAAATTGTTACAGATACTGAATGCCATCTAGAAAAAAGTAGGAGACTATAAAAATATGTCACCACTTATGGGGTCACATTCAAAGTTGATTCTAGATTAATCAATGTAAAGCATGAGATGTGTCATCTCTCTAATAACATACTGTCAATCATACAGTAAAACATGTGTATATTGAACATTTTTATATTCAAAGCAATCAAGGCCAGACACATTTCCTGTCCTATGAAAACAAAGCTTATTAAGAATTATAATTTGTGACACCTGTTTCAATAGAACAGGATAGCAAATTTCAAAGTGGTGCTCACATACTCAGGTGTTACTGTATTGAGTAATTCCAACCTATTACAAGGTGTCCAAAACATACTCAGGTGCTACTATATTGAGTAATTCCAACCTATTACAGGGTGTCCAAAACAGGACTCAAGAAAAAAAGTTGATTATCTCACTTTATCTTGCATATTCTGCCTTGACATTTCAGAATTATTTAGTTTTTTTCAATGTAAATTCTGTTATGAAAGTTTCATAATCTGCCTATTGAGTCAAAACTACAGTATCTTACAAAACATGCTCCACGTAGGCACCTCTCCTCTCTATATTCAATTGTGCATAGAGAAGAGGTGTCTACCTTGAGCATATTTCGCAAAGTACTGTTGCTGACACACTCATGTAAAGGTAGACTGGAAACAAAACATTAGTGGATGAAATCATCCACAATGTGTCCTGGGTTTAGATCCTTTATTAAATAACATGGATTTTAGATCCTTTATATGGATTAACATCATTTCGAGATAGATCAGACAGTATACTGTTAAAATAAAGGTCATTATAGATCATAAAGGACATTCCTCCTTCATATAAAATTCTTGAAATTGTTCTAAATAGACATAAATGTTTCGTGATAAATTGTTGCTCACACATTTTGGAAAGATTCTTTAAATATTGAAGCTCTAACCTTTGACTGTCTCTTTATTTGAATTTCTAACACCTTTGACCTTATTTCAATACAATCTTTGAGATACAAGTCTTTAAAGCAAGGATAAAATACCTGCTTGTTCGTTACACGATGACACTAAAGGTTTTCTAGTGCAGCTTTATACATCTAAGTTACATTTTAGGATGAGCTTTCTTTCTTCTATGTTTGTACGACATTTAACATAAATCAATCCCCTCAATTTTCTATTTCCACAGAGCAGGCAGATTTTGCCTTGGCCCACTGATTTTCAGTCTTGAATTTTGATAAATTTCTTCAGAATTTCTAGCAGAACTAACAATTTTTTGAAGATTTGGTGAATAATAACTCTTACCTGTTTTAGCAAATTCTATGTTTTTTAGGCAGAAAATTGCCCAAAAGGCCAAAAATATCAGTATCAAAAATGGAATTAAACCTTTTAAATTGCAAAAAATTCAGTTCATCAACTTGAGTGCAGTTTATGAATCAGACTATTAATAATGCTTCGCATCTTTAATCTAGAACTCATTTCATATACAGTAAAACCTGACAAGTTTGAATGGATGAAGCCTGAACTGGCCAAAAATGTTCAAACTTTGAGGTGTTCACATTCTGAGTATATTTGGAAGTATATAGCAAATTAAACGAGGCATTGACTTGACAAAATGTCACTGCCTTGTTGCTCTCAATATTATGAGTTCAATCTTTAGTCAGATTTGAATTTCTGAGAACTTGTAGATGATTTTGAAAAATAAAATAGTCAATTTGAAGCAAGTAAAATACCTTTTTGACCTTTTTAACCTTTTTTGACCTTGAAAAATTCATTGAAGGTCAAATCTTATATATAAAGTCATATTTGAACTTCTGAAAACTTGCTGATTTTGAAGTAAAATGAAGTCAGTCTAAACAGTATTTGTTAAGTTTATATTGGAAGTTGTAGGAATTTGTTACAGACACCAACCGCCAATCGCCAACCACCAACAGCCGATCACCATCACAAAAAACAGAGACCATGACAATATGTCACCACAAGGCATCAACATGCAAAATGTAACCACCTGCCAATTGCCATTTGTTACAGATGCCAAACACCAACCATGAAACACAAGCCACTGAATACCAACTGCCGAATGCTGAACACCATCCACAAAAAGTTAGAGACTATAACGATGTTACAACTTCTGGTGCTGAAATAAAAATTTGACCAAAAAGTGTTCACATAAGAGTGTTCACATAATCCAATTTGAGAGGTGTTCTGACATACAGGTTTTACTGTAGGTCTTTATCAAACATAGGTATATGATGGCACCATTATGCAAGTTCATATGCAGTAATGATTTATATCTGCACGTATACCATAAAAAAACATGCCGGTGTTTGATAAAACAAAATGATATCTATAACATGACATTATTCATTCTGATCTATTTTTCTTGACATACATACATATGTCAAAAAATCAATTAATATTAAATAATAGCAACAGTATTTGATCACTTAATCACGCTAACATTAAACAATAACAAATATAAAATACTCATTGTTATGTAATTATCTTTATCATATGTCAGCCAGAGTACAGTTTTTGATTTTCAAAGAGTTACACTCCTGTCCATAAGTTCAACAACTGTAGATTTTCACTGTATAGCTTTTCAAAACCCCTTAAAACCCCTTGTTCCTTGATTACAAAAATTCAGAAAGTTATGACTTTGATGAATTTTTCAATAGACTAACATAACAATGATTTTCATACAATTAGTACCAATAATCTTACGGAATATTGTAGGGATCATAAGGGGAACACTGTTGAGCCTTTGAGTGCATTGAAATACAATGTCATCAGCTTCACAATGGCATAAAATATAGTTAAGAGGGTGTTGATACAGTCCATTTTATGCTAATATGAAAACATGCTGAAAACCTCCAAAATAGCTTTGGCCAGCATTGAGTTAATAATTGATTCAGAAGGAGACGTCCAGTTGCCAAACTTATTAATGGGAGTGTAGCTATAATTGTTCCCTTTATTTGATCACTTTATGTTTAAATGACTTGATGATGATAAGAAAAAGCTAAAATAAATGCTTGTACATTTTACGTGTAGTACTAAAACCTCAGTCACATTTGCTCTATCGCTACTGTACTTCGACTGTAGCAGGCCATCAAACTATTCTGCAATTTGCATATTTGTCACGCATTTGCTGAAGAAGGTCATGGCCATAAAAAAATGAATGCCGAAATATAAGAATTTTTATGTGAATTGCGTATATGTCCGCCATTTGTGACAACGGTATCTGACTTTACCGTAGTCAGGCTATTCCGGTGTGATACCACTGAGTCAGTGATGTAACCCCTGGTTGACCCTTGTACTCCCTCTATGTCAATGATTTCTTAATTTAAGTACATGTATGGTATGTTAAAGCCTGCCAATTTGGCCATAACAGTGTAAATTTTTAGTTGCCAACAGTTCAATGTACCAAGATTTTCCACTGCATTTATTCTTTACACATAATTATAGTTGATAAAAACACAAATTATAGCAAATTATCTCAACATGTTTTAAATTCATATATAATCTAACAAAAGAGAGGTTCAGTTACACGTTTTAAGAAAACCTGTATGTGAGCGTGTCTCATTCGACCCCTGAGGATTACTATCCCGCTCTCAATTTACTTTCACAGGACCTAATTACAATTATTTCCCCGTTTACCTTTATATACAATCGGACAAGTAAACAGTACAAATTAGAGTACTAATTCACAGACTGAGGACCATAATTCTCCACGTTCACGGACAAGGTTTAAAAAATGTGTATCTTAACCTCCCTAATCCCAAACCCATGCAGCTATTAATTTGTAAATATACTTTTAAAATGTATGACCCTGCGCTAACCTCAATGTACTCTGTATGACAGATGACAGTAATTAAAGAGGCAAACTCAAAAATATGAGAAAAAAGGGTAGATGCTAATAAACATCACATTTCTTTCTTAAGTCTATAGTTTTATTTCATTTTTATCGCATAATCATTACATTCTACAAGTATAATGATATACAAGTATTCTATATTTTAATTCTGCAATTTCTGCAACAATGACCGACAAAAGTTCTGAAAATCCACTTTTTGCGCAGGATTATCCAAAAACCGAGCCTAAAACAGGTTTATATGCTTAAGCGACATGTTTTATGATACTGCATCAGAAAATTATTTTGTTTGGAATAAAAGATACATTTGAATACATTGCAGTTTACGTCAGCAATTTGGGAAAAAGGCAATTTGTATAACCTATTAATTTCTTATTTTTGTCATTACTGACATTTTTCTATTATATTCAATACTTCTGTTGAGTCTACATTGCAAATTCAGTGAAAATTTCATTCGAATATATTCACTCTACTATACCTAACTCCTAGATATAAGATACCCTGTTTGTCCAATTGTATTTTTTAGTATATCTTTGAAAACACCTTATTAACATCTAACAGTCATCCGATAAACCATTAATAAGGAACAGACAAATAAAAACAAATAACATAATCATTACTAATAAGTCAAATGGGTTGCTTATGAATGCCAAATACAAGGTATAGTTGAGTGATATTGAAAAATAAAAATAGAAAGATAGCCTGAGATCTTAGTTATATAAATGTTTAAATAAACATTCTTTCAAATAAAAAAGCTTGTTTACAGGTTGAGCCAAAAAAGGTAACCAAAAGAAATGTTATTAACTCAGTCATCCAGCATGGGTTTAACACCATATTTGGCACAATAAATGTCCTTGGTATATTTCAAATAATCAAGATTTTGAGGCCATTTTACAAAAAAGCATGCTCCAAATGCATAATCATGGCAAAATTATCCAATATGAACCCCTAAAATTTTATCTTTGGAGTCATTACCTAATATATCTGTGAGTGTGTAGTCAGAACAACCTTACCCAATCAATTCAAGTTTGATTATTTTGAGCATGTTTTGTAAAATGGACACAAAATCGTAACTGTTTGGAATAGACCAATGAAACTTGTTAGAATGAATGAACATTGAAGTGCAAAATATGGCATAAAACCCACACTGGATTACTGAGCTAATAACATTTGTTAGGACTACCTTTTTTGGCTCAACCTGTACTTTAAGAAAAAATCCTGGGATACCATACCATATTTATGAATAAGCATTAAATTTCTTAGAGAAAAGGAAGTTAACATCTTACAACTTTTACTTGAAAAAAAAGGTTTGTTATTAATTTTCAATTCTGACAGAAATGACAATAGCAAATATCAATACATTAATAAAGCATATGAAACATATACCTGACCTACAATATATATATAGGTCATAATATATAGGTCTGCAGACACCTGTCTAACAGTCTCAGATAGTAAACTTTTATCAAGTCTCTTGACTTTATATTTTGATAACAAGAAGGAGGATTTGCTCCCAGTGTTCCAACTTCTACCATATATGGAATCAAGTCTTGATTACAAAATTCAAAATCAAAAAGCTGCAATTTTTTCATTTCAGAATTTCAATCACGAGTTTTGGCCTTATTTTCCAACAAAAAATTCCAAACACAAGAAGTCATCAAGGTGTCATAGGTCGCTAGAATATCAACCATTCTCCATGAAGTTCATTTTTGCATTCTTTGCTGTAGGAATAAACACTGTACAAATTGCTTGGAGATTAAAATATTGAGTTGGAACCCTGGGAGTCTAACTTGTTTTGATAGCTGACTGCTAAAGAATTATTTCATATCTTTTTTTTGAAATTATTATCTTTAGAGCTCTATATTAGGTTTTCAACAGGTCGCGACTTTTTTAAATGTTTAAATTTATAGCCTGCATGTAGAGCGCCTTGACCTTTTAAGCTTTTTGCTTTTTTATATCCATTTGATATGAAAGACATATAAGATTGCCATCACAAATAAATGCATCCTTTTAAGCTTGAATAAGTTATTGCTATGACGATTATATAAAACGAACGCGATGTGACAAACTGCACATACCACATTTCTAGAACGCACATACACAAGAGTTTGTCCTTGTACGGGATCAGCCTAATTGTTTAATATAATACTACAGGGTGAGCCAATAAAGACAATTTTTTGAGATGTCTGGTATCATTTATTTACAGATCAATTAAAAATGATTAAAAAATGATTCAACACCAGCAAATTACATCGAGTTTTTTTATAAACACAGAAACCAGAATATATTTCCATAAAAGGTGATTTTGAAAAAAACAGTACCAGTCTGAGAACACCCTGTAGCGATGAGTTCATCAAAGTCAATGTCATAAGAGAAGACATTGACCTAGTGTGAAAACCCATAAATAATATCTGAGCTTTAGCAAGTCTGTAGCTGATCTTATGTCAAAATATTGACCATGTAAACGGCCTGGACTACTGCCCTCATTTAAAGTCTGATACAAAAACATTGTGCTTAAGATAATGCATAATACACTGAAATCACTTGGTTTAAATCCAAATTAAGGTGTTTCCCCAAATCACTGATTCGTAAAATTTAATATACGTACATACATACACACCGTGATAATGGGGATTTTGCCAGATTTTATTGTGCAATGTATGATTCATACAACAGTAAATGTCACCATCAATCAATAGTTTTGATAAAAACATATCGATTATACACTATAAGACAAAATATATTTCCCATATTTCAAAATATTCCTCAGGCTTTCTGTTCGACTTGTTGGCCAGACAATCTTTCTATTTCTTTTGCAAACGGTAATTTAGTCAGCCTTTTACAGTATACAATTATTGACCTCTCCAGAGGTTTACTGTCAAAATTATATCCCGAGACTGTAAACCGAGACCGTAGGTCGAGGTTTACAGTCGAGGGATATAATTTTGACAGTAAACCGAATGGAGAGGTCTATAATTGTTTTGTTAGTCCGAAGAATATCTTAGATTTTTCTGACCCTTGAAGTTGACTTGAAGTTGGATCCAGACCCTCGAGACGTTCAAAACATCGTTTGATGCCTTGAATTCAGACTTGGTAATGTCCATCTTAAGTGTCTCTCTGATGTATCGTGCCACTCCCCATTTAAGAAGCTGAAATGATTTCAACTTATAAAGTCCACCGTCTTTTTTTCTAATACCAACGTAAAACTTTTTCAAAAAATTATCTACATCTGCCACGGCAGTAAGTTCACTCAATGGAGTCAAATTACTCTCCTGGGCGAAGTCCACTAAAAGCTTTGTACAAAGTTTTAGATTTTTCTTTGTATTTTGACTGTCTTTACTCTCTAAGAGACTAATAATATCCTCATCTTCAACATTTTTGAAACGGCTAGTGCTAGCGGCGGCCATTTTGTCGTCTGATAATGACGTCATTTTAGTGGAATGCTGGGAATATTATTCACCGGCAATGCATTGCGCGGTGTACAGTTAAAATTATTCACCGCTCGTTGACCAATCAAAATCGAGTATTTCAACTGAGGTACTAACAATAAAACTTGTCCTAGCGAACACCTTTCTCCAGGTGACACATTTCCATGGCACACTCTCCTTGCTTTTGTATAAAAATACTGGGGTTTCATATGCAGCAGACAATAGGCGATTTTTACCAGTTGTTTTCACAAAATCACCTGTTATTTTAGGGACTTTTCCATGTTAAATTTATGATGTCTATAAATTTTGTCTGTTGTTTTCATTTATTTAGCCTATTGTGAGAAATTCTCGTAAAATCCCTGAATTACCCTTTCTGAAAGTGAACACCTTCAATATACACAGGTTTTACTATATAAAAACATAATTCTTCAATTTCAAGAACTGTTCTTAAAAACTGTACTTAGATTGAGTTACTGTACAGACAGGGAAATATATACATAGATAGTACTATACATAAATTAGAAATCTAGACATACATTGGCAGAATTCAATAAAAATACACAATTTGATAGGCTAACATGTGAAAAAATACATTTTATGTAAGGTTTCACGACTTTCATCACATTTTGGTCAAATTGTGGTGACATTTTTATCATAAAAAGTAGGCCACTTTTTCCAAGTTTCTGATCCACAAAATTTGACAGTAAGCCTTGTCGAATTTCAAAAGTAGGTCAAATCAAATATATTATGGACAGGTTTGACCTATATAATATAATACAATGCCATAAAATATAATATATTATTACCACCTTGCCGGGCCAGTTCTAGGGGTTTTAGTGCTAGTTTAGAAGGCGTTTATTTTACTATATCGACCTGAGAAATGTGTGACGTCATAGTGGTGGTCCATATGGACCGGTCTAGAATATATTCTGGACCGGCAATTTTCCCCGGGAAATTAGATATCGTTCAATGCGTAAGATTTTCTTGTTGTTTCAGTCCTGGTCGTTAACGGTGGTAATAATACTAATATATAGAGGTTATTTAATGGGAGGGATGGCATATATATATTATTCCTAGGGAAAATATGATATTGGCAAAGAAAAATATGATATTGACCGAGGGCGACAGTCTTCCCAAGGAGGATTGGCTGCAGACCTCAAACTCGATATTTGACCTTGACCTTGATCCATGACAAAATTAAAAATGACTATAAACTCATAATCAGCAATCTAAAAGATTTTGATCACTTCTTGTATGTTTTGAAATATTTTGTAAATGAGACCAAACCTCGCGGTTGAAATTCTCAAGTGAAAAAATGGCGGCGGCTTCATTTTGAATTTTGTAAAGACGAAATAACTCCATATATGGCAGAATATCAAGATTGAACCCTGGGAGACAATCCAATGGTGTACATTACCAGCATCAACGAGCCTAATAAAATGAATGTCGGCATTTGTTTTGATGTATGACTCTTATTATAGGCCCCAACAGCCAGAGAAAGAATCACGGAAGGATGAGCAAATATTTAGTTATCAGATACTTAAAAGTACACTACATGAGTAAACAACTAACACTAATCTATCTGCTAGTAGTTTCATAAAGTACATGCATAATTTATCAATGTCATTTTTTTTGTTATTTGTTAGTACACAATTTTTTGTTCAAATATCATCTAAAAAATTTATAAACTACTCACGTTTTTGGCAACTGTCGCAGGGAATGATCAGATTTGGGAAAACTGACACGTCCTCTTTACAGATGTCGCAGGATCTTGCCATGATTCAATGTCAAATGGGACCTGCAAATACAAGTTTCATTCGAGAGAATCAGTTATATTATCTTTTTATCTTACAGAGTGAGCCAAAAATAAGGCTTGGAATACTAACAAATTATTTCTAAAATATACAAGGTGAGCCAAAAAAAGCCTCCAAACATAAGCGATTAACCACTTAAATATACAGGGTGACAACAAAATAGGCTCCAAATATTTACTAATATCCTAAATAAAATATACAGGGTAAGTCAAAAATAGACTCCTAAAGTATACAGAGTAACCAAAACTACACTCTCAATTAGAGGTGTCAAGTATTAACTGGTTAACTGGTTAACCGCCGATAATGCCTTGACCGGTCTGAGTTTTTATGGGCGGTTACTTGACCGTGTATAATTCTGTTATTTCCCGCGCTTATTTTGCATGCTAATCCGTTTGGTTTTAAGGTGTCAGTTTCACGTAAGCTACTCATACATGTCATAAGTCCCATAACTCCTTACAAACATCCAATCAGCAACTTTAATCCCTGCCACATTGCTTTCCCGCGCTTACTTTGCATTTTAATCTGTTTGTTTTTCAAGCGTCAGTTTCATATGAGCTACTCATACATGTGATAGGTCCGACAATTCCTTACAAACATCCAATCAGCAACTTTAATTCCTGCCACATTGCTTTCCCGCGCTTACTTACATAGAATAGCGTAAAGCTTGACGAACGTAAAAAATAAACGCCAATATATCATTTTTCCAATTTTTTTCAACTTTCAAGATCGAAGATGAAGATTTCATTTGAAATTATAAGTTCAAATTTCCTGCCGGTTAACCGACTTTAACCGGTAAAAAACCCCAGTTAACCGGTTAATGCACAAGCGGTTAATTGACACCACTACTCTCAATACTTGCGAATATCTTAACAAGCTATAGAAAATACCTCAAAAATGAAAATCACCAGTTTATAATAAAAACTTAAGACAATGTCATTTTCAAAATCATGCACTTTTTCACAATTCTGAGCAATTTTAAAGTGATTTTTGGGCCAAAGTTGTCAAATGTGAACCCCCTGGATTTTTTTGAAAAGTGAACCCCCTTGGCAAAGCTGGCTACAGGCCTGGCATTCACTGCATGCAAAGTTTAACAGACCAAAAAGAATCAAAATGCTGCCAATGAACTTTTAGTCAGAGTGTATAATACCAAACCACATTCAAAACAGGACAATGACCATACTGTATTATCAAAAAGATAGATAAAAGCTTATCAGTCATCAAATCAAACACCAACACCTGAACACCAACCACTGACTGCCAAATACCATACACAAAAACTGGAGACTATAATAATATGTTACCACTTCTGTTAGTGACATAAAAGGCCTCTGTTTTACAAAATGGAGAATGTATCCTTTTCCTACAGCATTTGAGCAACTTGCAAGCATGGACATATCAGACTATTTAGATCATTCTGACCAAACTTGTCATTTCTGATGTTTTAAAAAGCACGCCTATTTTTTACTAACATTTATAACGTTATTATTACTAATGTACTGTTGACTTTATTATACTGTTGTTTATGATGTACTATAATTTAATCTTTATCTGTATTGTTTTCATACTGTACTGCTGTTAATGATGTACTATAATTTAATCTCTATCTGTATTGTTTTCATACTGTACTGTTGTTTATGATGTACTGTAATTTAATCTTTATCTGTATTGTTTTCATACTGAACTGCTGTTTATGATGTACTATCATTTAATCTCTATCTGTATTGTTTTCATACTGTACTGTTGTTTATGATGTACTGTAATTTAATCTGTATCTGTATTGTTTTCATACTGTACTGTTGTTTATGATGTACTATAATTTAATCTGTATCTGAATTCTTTTCATACTGTACTGCTGTTTTGCAAGTTTGTTATTCATACTGTAATTTATACTATACTGTTATCTAAATACTGTACTGCAGTTTATAATATGCTGTAATTTATAATATACTGTTAATCAAATACTAAAGTGCTGTTTATGATATACTGTAATTTATACTATACTGTTATTCAAATACTGTACTGCTATTTATGTTATACTGTAATTTATACTTTACTTTTATTCAAATACTAAAGTGCTGTTTATGATATGCTGTAATTTATAATATACTGTTAATCAAATACTGTACTGCTATTTATGTTATACTGTAATTTATACTTTACTGTTATTCAAATACTAAAGAGCTGTTTATGATATACTGTAATTTATACTATACTGTTATTCAAATACTGTACTGCTATTTATGTTATACTGTAATTTATACTTTACTTTTATTCAAATACTAAAGTGCTGTTTATGATATGCTGTAATTTATAATATACTGTTAATCAAATACTGTACTGCTGTTTATATTATACTGTAATTTATACTTTACTGTTATTCAAATACTAAAGAGCTGTTTATGATATACTGTAATTTATACAATACTGTTATTTAAATACTGTTCTGCTGTTGTTATACTATACTGTATACTATACTGTAGTTTAAATACTAAAGTGCTATTTATGTTATACTGTAATTTATAATATACTGCTGTTTAAATACTGTATTGCTATTTATGTTATATTGTAATTTATAATATACTGCTGTTTAAATACTGTATTGCTGTTTGGGATATGCTGTAGTTTATACTGTTGGGTAAATATTGAATTTTCACAAACATCTAATCTATTGGTATTGAAATATTGGTGTCTATTATCAAGACCTGCTCTCGTCCTAAAATAATGTTTTAAAGTTAGTCCATTTGCATGTAATCTTTTCAGTTGAGAGTTTAACATGCCCATATTTTTATTTTTTTTATTTATTTATTTGGAAAACGCTTTTAGAGCAGCGGCACTCAATCGGTGCATCCAATACATCATATATAAAATATAAATGGGATAAAACATATCATGCAAAAAACCACTAAAAACATGCATACGACTATTGTGTGCACTGTACATGTATTTTCTTTAAAAACAATTTGACATATTTGTCAAACTTCACGTAATTATCATGTCCCCACAAGATCAAAGTGTCATCTCCCAGAGCCCAACATGTTTTTAGTTGTACACTTCCTGCTAGAAAGTCAGAGGAGAGTTGGTGGTTGCAGTTTGACACAACATTATTGAAAAATACATTCCTATCACTACCAAAGTACGGACAGACAAAAAGTCTATGCTGTATAGTATCTTTAACATTGAGGTTACAAAAGAGACATATACCATTGCCTTGACCCCATCTTTGAAGGTCGGAGCGAAGGCCAAAACATCCCGTTCTGGCCATGAATTTAAGTTTCTGACCATAGAAATCAAAGTCTGAGTTCATATAGTTTTCCTTAGAGAGATTACTTTTCAAACATTTGTAAAGATTTAGGGATGACTTCTCCCCTATTGAAGAGAAGAAAGCTACATGGCTTAAATCATTTGAGATCTGGATGTATGTTTTATACCAGTTATCACCCTGCCTTTGAAGGATGCCATCCAGACCATGTTTTATCAGGATCTCCTGAATATTGGCAAAATAGGGGAAAGCCTTACCTTCCTGACCATTTATGTATTTATTGTACATTGTGTTGAAGATAGCTTTGTGAGCTGACCCTTCTTTAATAGAGTGCTTTAAATATAAAAAATAATCGATTTGGCGTTTTTCGATGACATCTAGAATAGGTCTTAATCCTAAATCTCCTAACAATGCCTCTCTTGCAGGGCGGCATCTAAGCTGGAGAATGGCTCTTGCTACATTGTATTGCATTGATTTGAATTTTTTGCAAGTTGTCTTATTCAGAATCAAGGTGGGGCATCCATGTAATATGGCTGGCAAAAACATTGTATCATGCATTTTAATTCCGAATTTGACTCGCATAACATTGCAATGCTTGGTTAAGGTTGAGCTTATCATTCCTTGTACTCTTTTTGATTTAGAGCTTAACATATTATTTATGTGGAAAGAATCCTTCATGGACCTGTCAATATGTATACCCAAATATTTATAGTTCTGAACTTCGGAAATATATGAGTTCCCCAAAATCCAAGTTTTTTGTTTATCTAGACGTTTTCCTACTATCATAACTTTTGATTTTTTTGAGCTAAATTTAAATCCCCATTTGATTGAGAAATTATCTGCAATTTTTAACATTTTGTTTAAACCCTCTTCATTGTCAGCAAGTAGTACAATGTCATCAGCAAACATTAGAGCTGGGATTTTTTGCCCTTCGAAAGGTATACCTGTTGATTCTTCTTGGAGCATTTCAACTAGTTCTGACATTACAAGGGAGAATAGGGTCGGGGAAAGACAGCAGCCTTGCTTTAGGCTATTAATGGAACTACTTTCTTCCCAATCAGTTGAAATTGATCCAAATATAACTTTATTTTGAACACCATTGTATAGCTCCCGTAGGAGTCTCCACACTTTACCCTGAATCCCTTTCTCCCATAATCGAATGAATAATAAGTCCCTATTTACAACATCAAATGCCTTGGATATGTCTAAAAATGCTAAAAATGTCTTCCTATTGTTACTTTTGCGCATACTGCAGAGGCCCTTTAAAGCAAACAAATGGTTTTCCAATCTTAGCCCTGACCGAAATGCACCTTGCAGATCCCCAAGTAGATTGTTATCTTCACAGAACTTAATGATTCTTGTTTCAATAACAGAGGTAAATAGTTTATATACATTAGAATTGATAGTTATTCCTCTATAATTGTCCAAAACTTGCTTATCTCCATTTTTATGAATTGGGAACAGGAGACCCTCTTTCCATTCTGAGGGCATTTCCTCTCGTAATTTGACAAGATGAAAAAGATCATGGAGAGAATTTACTAATAAAGGCCCCCCCTGTTTGAGAAATTCATTAGGAATTTGGTCAGTTCCGCAAGCTTTGCCATTGCTCAAGCCTTGGATAAGTACCTGTATGTCACTAGGATTAAAACATACTTCGAACAGGGCATTATCGGAGAATTGTGATGATGAAGCTAGATCATTAAGTTTTTTAGAATAGTCGATTTT